CAATATATATTTACCAATGCTTGCTGTGAGTATAGTCTAATACAATATATATTTACCAATGCTTGCTGTGAGTATAGTCTAATACAATATATATTTACCAATGCTTGCTGTGAGTATAGTCTAATACAATATATATTTACCAATGCTTGCTGTGAGTATAGTCTAATACAATATATATTTACCAATGCTTGCTGTGAGTATAGTCTAATACAATATATATTTACCAATGCTTGCTGTGAGTATAGTCTAATACAATATATATTTACCAATGCTTGCTGTGAGTATAGTCTAATACAATATATATTTACCAATGCTTGCTGTGAGTATAGTCTAATACAATATATATTTACCAATGCTTGCTGTGAGTATAGTCTAATACAATATATATTTACCAATGCTTGCTGTGAGTATAGTCTAATACAATATATATTTACCAATGCTTGCTGTGAGTATAGTCTAATACAATATATATTTACCAATGCTTGCTGTGAGTATAGTCTAATACAATATATATTTACCAATGCTTGCTGTGAGTATAGTCTAATACAATATATATTTACCAATGCTTGCTGTGAGTATAGTCTAATACAATATATATTTACCAATGCTTGCTGTGAGTATAGTCTAATACAATATATATTTACCAATGCTTGCTGTGAGTATAGTCTAATACAATATATATTTACCAATGCTTGCTGTGAGTATAGTCTAATACAATATATATTTACCAATGCTTGCTGTGAGTATAGTCTAATACAATATATATTTACCAATGCTTGCTGTGAGTATAGTCTAATACAATATATATTTACCAATGCTTGCTGTGAGTATAGTCTAATACAATATATATTTACCAATGCTTGCTGTGAGTATAGTCTAATACAATATATATTACCAATGCTTGCTGTGAGTATAGTCTAATACAATATATATTACCAATACTTGCTGTGAGTATAGTCTAATATAATATATATTTACCAATACTTGCTGTGAGTATAGTCTAATATAATATATATTTACCAATGCTTGGTGTGAGTATAGTCTAATACAATATATATTTATATTTTATTGAAAATGTGTTTTCAATTTGTACTGGAGTATTACTCCATGTTTAAGTTCAATTGTTTTACATTTAAGTGTTGTGTTTATTCAACCATTTTCAAAATTAAAACAAAAAATGATAGTCTCCTTCTCATCCTCCCCTTTTGGTGGGCTTCCTGTCTATATCCTCTAGGAAGACAGACAAAAGGGGAGGATGAGAAGGAGATTAAAAAATGGCTTCTTGTTTGCACTTTAATTTACTGCAGCCACAACTAATATTTGGTATTGGTTATCTAGTGATAATCCATTAATATTTGGTATTGATTATCTAGTGATAATCCATTGTGTTTCTCATCCATGTGTGTACTGAATACCTTGGAATTGAATCAAGAAGGACATGATGTGGCCATTGTTGTAGCAGGAGAGACAGGCAATGATTGTCTTGTTGTTAAATGGACTCTTGACTCACCAGGCTTGTAAGACCAACTGTACTTTATGGTATTATATTATTTTGTAGGTCTTTTGCAGCTAACATAAGCAACATGAACTTAAATAAACCAACTATAACACCTCAGTGACAAAATGTTGTCCAGAAAAAGAAAGAACAGGCTGACATATAGTGAAGGATTAGCAAAACAACAGCAACTTGTTGCCTTTATTGTGTTTCTTATTAATTTAAGGTAGCTGTTGTCATGTGACCTCTCTAACTGCAAAAAATCTATTGAACATGATTTCTGACTGACCTTTACTTCCTTAGAAGGGTTGTCATGATTGGTTAAGCTAAATTATATTGCCTAGTTTTAGTTCATCCCATCAAGAATTTAATTAGTTATGAAAAGAGGTCTATTGTAACATTAATATGCAAGCCATGAGACTGTACACGCTTTCAGCTCGTGCTTCTTGACATTTTCTCGTGTGTTTCAAATGCCAAGCGTGCGTTTATCAGAGTATAAACCACGGCTGAACCTTATTTATTTGTTAATTAAACTTGCTTATCTGGACTACTTTTATGAGTGATATTTAATATGATTGTATATTTTGTGTACAGGAAAGCTTTAAGTCAATCACGGNTTTTTTTATTTTTTGACAAATTCCAACATTGTCCCTGGATACATGTTATAGATCAGATGTTGTGTGAGAGACACTGTCATGATAGTGATAATGATATACTGTTGTCATGATATTTTCTCAATTCAATGTTTTCCATAATACTATCATGGTGGATTCAGTGTTGTCCATCACAGTGATGAATTTGCTGTAAAGAAGAAATGTACTAAAAATGTGTTGTCTTTCCCAGGAATCATCAAAGTTGTAGTGTACTGAAGACAGTGTCTGTACCCAGCGCAGGATTACATGCTGTAGAATACTTCCACGCAACAACACAAATGGTATCAAAAATATGATCATGATCAAACTTGAACACACTGACTAATCATACGTTGTCTATAGGGACTGGTGTTCATAGTTCTGATATGCCAAGCCTTAAAACAAAAGGTACGCAGGAACAAAATGCAATGGAAACAAGTAACAAACAATACTAGCTAATTGTCATATTAATAATGCACCRTCAATCATAACTGCTGATAATATGTTGCAGGATCTTGGGCATGGCTGTTTCATTATTGCACTCAATCCAATCAACAACAGACTTMAAAGTCTATTCAGATGTTTATCTGATTCTCACAGGTGAATACTTTCAAATTATTTTTTGTGTTGCATATTTATTGGAAAGTTTAACAAATTGTTCATGGTTTTGAGCTGTATGTCCTTGCTGTGCTTGTTGGTCCACTTGAGCATTGAGTTTTATAACATAAAGAATGTGTCAGTATGAGGACATAATACCCAAGGAATATATGGAAACCATACTAACCAAGGAGATTTTCTTGTAGTCTTGTTCAGACTGGAAGTGGTTGTGGTCAATACATAGCCTTGGGGTACAACAATGGGAACGTAGGTCTTTGGAATATTGTTTCTTCCCAAACAGCTGTGAATATACCTGTCTTTAAAGGTGTGTTATTGGCTAATTATGGGACATACTTTATCAGTAGCTATCAATTCATTTATTTAACTATATAGACTCCAATAAAATACCATTAATCTCCTGTGTGAAGAAGTGATATCTGTCACATGTGACATACTTAACCACGAATAGTTTGTTGTCTTATTTCTTGCCTTATATATATCTCAATTCTGATGACTCTATCAAGCAATCAATAATAATTTATAAATTATTGAAACATCAGTCAATAATTATCCATTGTTATCAATGTAGCGTCGAATCAAGCAGTCAGAAAAAAATCAATCTATAAATCAGTACGGAATCGATAGTTAATCAATGAATAATCGATATTTAATCAATGAATAATCAATACAATATCAGTCACTGAACCAACTGATGTAGTGGATTACCGGCCGAATGGTTTGCTGTGAACTAAATGTTCATTTAGGCAACAATACTTTTTGTAGTTAACTGATTCAATACACTTTGTTTAATGGTTCATTGTATTTTAATTTGTAGGTTGTGTTGACTGCATTAGTTTTCATCCTACAAGACCAATTGTTGCATTTGGTGGTCCACAAGGATGCGTTCATCTGTACTCACTACGCTAGATAAGAAAACCGCTGTCATCAGAAGGTCATTTATCAAAAATATAGGATTGGAAATAGAGTACTTAATATTAAAATATGAACATGATGAAAACCCCGAGAACTGATGACTTCAAAAAAAAAAAAAAAAAAAAAAAAAAAAAAACCCAAAAAAGAGAAAATTGTAAGGGTAACGAATGGATATTAAAATGAAATCAGGCGACGATTTCTCTTGGTTTTCAACTTTTTCCTTTGACTAAATGTCCATCAAAAGGTCATATAAGGTTCTAATCAGACTGTGCAAACAAGATAACTCAAATCAAACTAGATTTTCCTGGTCTTCAACATATTAGTATTTATTGAAAATATTTATTCTTAACAAGCTATGCACTGAGTCCTGTTTGAATCACAACATCTAATAGTCATTGTATAACAACATGTCCTTTATGAAGATCAGAATTTCGAGAAAAGACTCGATACTGCTGGTGACGTTAATGAATTTCCAGCTATTCACTAGCTAGTATAATTAAAGATCTCATAGGAAACTTAATCTTTGGCAGCGAGTACGACATTTTCCTTTTCTTTGCGCAGTTATTTACAAGATATACTAAGTACTATTCAACTAACTTCAACAATCTAATAAAGAACTTTAAAAGCTTTGATAACAAGTACGAGATTGTTCCCTTTTCTTTGCGCAGTTATTTACAAGATATACTAAGTACTATTCAACTAACTTCAACAATCTAATAGAGAACTTTAAAAGCTTTGATAACGAGTACGAKATTTTCTCCTTTTTTACGCGGCTATTTACAATCTATATTTATGTTCTATACAAGCTAAGGGGTCATAGCTGAGTCCAGCTAAAGATTGCGTTTTAGTTTTAGTCAATAAGATGATTCTTTTGTCAAATCTTGGCCTTTTTTCTGTGGTGCTAGTATTTTGTTAAAACTGATTAAATATTTCAAATGAAATAGGTATAATAATCAGCTGTGAGTTCAATAGATACTGTTCGAAAATGTTCAAGGTTTATTGTACCTTCAATAGCATGAAAGAATTCCTTCTTTTCATTTTTGCAGGAGTTCTCAGTATCAAAAGAGTTTTAAACATGCTTTSTTGATCTCTTCGTTCGTACCGATATAAATAGCAGGGTTTACCAGAGATGCCAATAGTGCTAAGGTRTTCATTAATGGGTGGAGAACGTACTGCATTTCTCCATTCTGGTTAACCACAAGATAAAGAAGCATTAATGGAAGGAATCTTGTAAATAGAAGGCCAATACCGAGATATGTTGCTAGTTTGGCCGCTTTTCTTTCTGATTTGGCAAGACGACTATTGGTTTTCAAATTAAGCTGCTGTGCTTGGTGTTGAAGGTTGTCTTCTTTCAATTTATCTGATCTCGTATTCGCTTGCTCTTCGAYATTTCGAGATGAAGGATTGTCTGGAAATGGTGGTCTACAAACTTCTTGTTCACTTTGTTTGGAAAGAACTTGGCCTTGAATTTCAATGTCTTCCTCAGACTCGCCTCGCTTTGAACCGGAAAATCCAGAAAAGTCGTCCTCGATGTTCTCGGGAACGTTCAGACTGATTTGTTTTTCTTGAAAGGTGTCTTGATTGATAATTGGTTCAGTGGCGGGTTGTCGGGTTTGGTGCTGCAAATTATTATTTGTTCCGTTTCTTCTCTTAATGGTCCGCCAAATCAAAACCGCGAMAATGAACATGGAAATCCAAGAACAAGCGATAAAGAGAATTAGAGGAATCAGTYCTTTTTCGGTGAAGGTTCTCACAAGCATGAGAATAGTACCAAAGACGCTACTGGCGATAGCAGTCTTGATAAGGCGGCGCTTTGTTACRTGTGCTCGATGCCATATTGGATATCTCAGGGCAATGAACCGTTCACAATTCATTGCTGTTAATAGCAATTCACTCGAAGAAAAGAGAGTAGCATTTACGAAAAGTACATTAAAAAAGYAGCTGGGTTCAAGCTTGTTCTGGTAAAGTACCTCAATGACCAGGTGTGAGGGAGATGCTACAGCACTTCTGATGAAATCAGCTAACACCAGGGCCATAAGGAATACATGAGCTTGCCTTCTCAAAGGTGAATTCTTGTAAAATGTCAAAAGCACCAATCCGTTTATAAAGACAGCGAACGGACATGTTAAGGCGGTTATGACAATAGCTGAACGAGACGAGGCAAGGGACATAGAACTTGCTTTTCCAGGATCCTTTTGTTCACCTAGTGTTTGACAAATATCGAGGGCCTCTGAAGAGGCCGAGTAACTCGATGTGCTGTTCTCAAACGACATTGCTGATATGAACTTCACGTATCAAGCCTTTCAGAAAAAGATGCTCATTGTAGTGATTGGTTTTTCATAAATGCACTTGCGTAAATCCTTTTTTTTTTTTCATTATTCTTTTTTACAAAACACTATTGTTACCTTTGAAGTCTTCTACGCCATTAGATTGAATTGGTTTTATGCTATTGATTAATTATTCGTTGGAAAAATGGAATTGTTCTTGTCGGATCTTTTAATCTCGTTTAGTATCTTTCCTATTTTTGGGGGGGGGGGGGGGGGTTGCAATCAATTAGGTTCATGGGCACGAAACTTCGATTTATTATCATCATTTCTCAAAACGATTTTTATCATAGTAAACCAAGTTCTTCATTTAGGTCGAAATGCTTACATGCCCATAGAACTGACGTCTGGAGTGGTAATCTTGCATCATCGAGGAACTAGAGAAAGTTACCCAATGGAAAGGGCAGGAAATCCCATTCATTTGTACGACAGTTTTAGATTTTTATCCCATTAAATTAATGACGCCGGATGAAACTAAAACGAATTAATGTTAATATTGGAAATATCTGCCTGGTTGCAGCTAGATATGACTTCACAAACTGAATTCAAGACAGTGAAACGACAGAAAATAGTACTACTTTGGAAGAATTGTACTTTTTATGCTGAAAAAAAAATTAAAACCAGAAGGAAGAACTTTTGATCTAAAATAATTAAGAAATTCAAGAGACAGGTTATATCGCTACTAAATGCTGTCTAATCGTGCTGTCTCGATATTTCGCCAATTTATAAATTCGACAGATGGTGATAGCCATTTTTTCGCGACATACATAGTTCTATTGCGTGCAACGTTTATTTTCAGAAGAGCAAACTAATAGGGCAAGCAAACTGTTTGCAAAAATGATGTAATGATCAGGAAAGGAATCGTACAATGTTGGTTTACAATCAATCTTATACAATACACCCACTGTCTCGTTGTACCGTACAACTTGTATGGCAGCTGATGCGAGACAGTGGGTGTATTGTATAAGATTGATTGTATTGGATCTACCGTTACATGCCAATTAGTAAAAAGTATTTCCTGACAATGAAATCTGCCCACCAGCATCCCTCAGCTTTCGAGCTTTTGTTTATGTTTGAAAATAGAAATACATCGTAATATAAGCAAAAACTTACTCTTTATTGTTCCTTTATCCTATATGAATGGAGATGCTTTAAGATTCGACCGTTTAACCGATTGATGGAAACGGATTGCAAATGGATAATCGAGGTCACCTCATTTTCCATATATGAAAAATCTAAAACACGACCGCATTGCATGCTAGTGGACCATGTCCCTTTAAGATGGATTATAACATAAAATGCTTACAATAATGTTCATGTTACATAAATGCAAATGCAATTTATACTTTTTTACATGTAAGCACTTTCAAGCATAAAATTGTATTTTTGAAGGACCACTAGATCAAGGGAGGGTGGAAACAAGGTCAAACTGTTTTTGCGTCGGTTGCTAACAGAATTCTAATATTACTCCAGTTTCGAATTCAAAGCGAATAACCGCTGTTGTATTTGACAGCAGATTCTCTTACGCAAAGAACTTACCAAACACAAAAGAAAGCACGATAAAATGTTGCCTGTACAATAGCGCTAACAATTTACATTTTCCCCSAGTTGAGGCTAACCCTGTATTCCCAGAAGGCTCATACCTTAGGTCTCATGGGAATACAGGGTTAGTCTCAACTCGGGGAAAATGCAAATTTTCAAGTCTATTGTAATAACGACATTTTCTCGTGCTCTCTTTTGTGTTTGTAAGGTCTTTGAGCAAGAGAATCTGTTGTCAAATAAAGCAGCGGTTTTGCGCTATGAATTCGAAACTGGAGTAWTCATGGAGAGTTCACATCCTGAGATTTTTACATTTTCTTTAGTTCTTTCTTCTAAGTATCTTTAGGGATAAAAATGGTTGCTGGAAATCCAACCGTAGCTAGTAAGAGGCCAACCGAGGCACTCGCCTCGGTAAAATTTTGCCGATGCTTTTTGTTCTTCATCACTAATATTATCTTAGCCTCTCAGAGCCGATTTCGTACGACTGATTTTGTGCAAAAAATATAAAAATAATGTTATTTTTGTACGTTGTTTTGGACGTGTAGCTTCTTTGTTTCATAAATATTGCATGATGAATTCCGGTTAAATCTGTTCAATAAAGAGTTACCAAAAGGCCCACAAAACGCTGCAACTTGCATTTCCGAGAGACTGAATTTCAAATTTTCTAGGGGGAGAATGCCCCCAGACCCCCCTAGTTTCTCCCGCCATCGGCGGTCGCGCTTGCCTCGGTTGTCCGTTCACTCTGGCTACGGCCCTGCAGCTGACGCTATCCTCCTGTAGTCTGCCGCTGACATACGCTTGCAACAAGAAACCAGGAATTCTTCAATCAATTTCTAGAAATACTTTAAATCAATTGCAATAGGGGATTYTAACATTATGATTGAAATATCATCGAGCTTACATCACTCAAGGAAATTGGGCACCAATGCYGACCCAGACCGCCCTAGAATGTTGCAACTTACTCCAAAATGTGAAAAAAACAAAACAATTTTCTTAAAATATTTTTGGGCCATTTCCAGCTTTCAATATCTCGTACCCAGAGCCCGCGTAAACGGCTCAGCGTGACTCGCAGATTGATGACACATAATAAGAGGACGCACGCGTATGTTGCTTATGAGCCTAATAGAGATATTTAAAAAAAAAAACAAAAACAAAAACAAACACTAAAACAAAAAATAAAAGATCAAAACTACGAAAGTGTGCGAAAGTGTTTGTTTAGATATTTTAAAGTGGACAGTGCCTGAAAGGGGGAGTGCAGCTCAAGACGACGCTATACACCTGGGCCGGGTTGCTCGAAGCCCGAAACTTCATAGGTTTTCTAAGAGTTAATCCAGGATGAGCGCTAATCGGCCTTTGAACAACCTGGCCCTGTTAGTTTAAAGGTGACTCTTACCTGTTTTAAGAATTCCTATCATTTTACATGTAAGAACGGCGGCACGTTGTGCAATCAAAAAGCAAGGTGTTCATAAGAACAATGTTCCACGTCAGTTGCAGATTTAATACAGAACTGTGCCATTTTAATTTTGTACAATTTCATGGATTTGGTGCGTTCACTGTACAAACTACACTTTGAAAGACAGTACAACCGCTTCTTGGAAAACAATGTGTAGGAACAGATACTTAATTTGGTTGTGACTAGAGTACTGTTCACGTGACCCACATACCAATACTCAAATAACGTGGAATAAACAAACACAAAAACAAAGTTATCTTTTTAAAATATTCATTTATTAAAAGATTGTAATAGATCTTCCTAGAATAGGAAATATCCCCCTGTACACAAAGTCGCTTCCAAACTACGGCATAGAAAATAACTTTAATGAAAAGAAATGTATACAAATCAGCGATGTCATCCCGATACAATCTACTAGAAAAATCTACACGTAGCTGGAAAGAATCGAGATAAAGTCAACACTAGTTGATTGTAGTTTATTTACAAAGTGAATTGAGTTATTTAGTTCTAAAGCCATGTCTAGTGGGTTGACGGTCAATACTACCCTCCCTATCTCGACCAGTACCAGTACGTCTCATTCCCGACTGGGGAGCAGCCATGACGGGCGTTGATCGTACATGAGCACCAGACATCCTAGACATATCACGATGAGGCAGGTCACCAGGGTTGATGTCAGCAGGAGCTCCACGATGAAGCCTCATGCTAACCTTGCGTTCACGCTCTGCCCTGGACATGGGTCGTCCTTGTGGTCCTGGTACACACACATCGGAATATCAATAAATGACAAAACGTACAGCCAATCCMATTACACAACAACAAAGTCATTTGCATATATCACATTTGTAGTCAATAACATCCAAGTTGATAGCATCACCTACCAATAGGAGAAGGAGCGGCTGCACCAATGGGTTCTCTAAGTCGTCCTGATGATGTTCCAGCCAATGCATGGGTTGTAGAACTTCTAACATGATGATTTCTTTCTTGTTCGCGTTCTCTATCTAAAACACGTTCTCTGGTTTTATCAGGACCTTGATCCTCTGGTTTACCACTTCCCTAAAAACAACCACACATGAACATACGATATAATACATGAAAGACAACCACACATACAGGTATGAACATACGATATAATACATGAAAGACAACAACACATACAGGTTTGAACATACGATATAATACATGAAAGACAACCACACATACAGGTTTGAACATACGATATAATACA